AGGAGCCAGCCCACTTTGCTTCCACGGCATGCAGTCTGTAGCACAGCATTTGACACACCATCAGTTCTGGCTGGGTGGATGAATACACGCACCACATAGCAGAAACTTCTGGAACAGCTTCTGAGCTGCTCACCCTTTGTAATATACTCTATATCCTCCTCTTACTCTGCCCCTCCCCAAACTATAGTATCTTCTCCCTCTGAATGCCACAGTACTTTCCACTGCCAGCATTCCACAAGTTGGACAGCAAGCCCATAAAATCTCACTGGGTGGGAGAGCACCCCCCAACAGTTATTAAAAGATGGTGGATGGGTCCCGGCACAGTAGCCTAGTGGCTAAAGTCTTTGCCTTGCACATGCCAGGATCCTATGTGAGCGCCGGTTTTAATCCCAGCAGTCCCACTTCCCATCCAGCTCCCTGCTTGTGGCCTGGGAAAGCAGTGGAGGACGGCCCAAGGCCTTGGGATCTTCCACTCACGTGGGAGAACCAGAAGAGGCTCCTAGCTTCAGATTGCCTCAGCTCCAGCCACGGCACCCGCTTGGGGAGTAAATCAGCGAATGGAAGATCTTCCTCTCTGTCTCTTCTCCTCTCTGTATATCTGACTTTCCAATAAATAAATTAATTAATCTTTAAAAACAATATGGTGGAGGCCCGAAGTCACCTCTGGTCTGTAAGTCACACACACAGCAGGGAGCAGGGAGCAGCCTGCGCTCACAGCAGAGTGCCTGGCTTGAGGCCCGGCTGCTCCTCTTCCAGTCTAGCTGCCTGCTAATGCACCGGGAGGCCCCAAGGGATGGCTCGAATCCTTGGATTCCTGCTGCTCAGGTGGGAGACCCGGATGGAGTTTTGGGGATAATTGCTTGGGGCATGAACCAGCAGGTAAAGCGCTTGCTCGCTCTCTCTCTGCCTATCAAATAAATACAATAAACTTTACAAAGAAATGCAGACCATTTGTCTTGAGTCCTAGCTCTTTCCTTCATATCCAGTTCACTACCTGAATACCCCCTTTGGCATCCCCATTACTCCCCAGTCCTGGCGTTCTGCCTCCAGATGACGGCTCCCCAGAGTGGACGTGCACCCCTCCTGGCCCCTGCCCTGCCCAGCTCACAGCACTCCCACTCAGCAAGGCTTGCCAGGCCCCTGCCGCCCGCTGCCGCCTCCTCCCCTGCAGCCCCAGCTCATGCTCCACTCGGCATCTACAGAAGCAGCCAGCACGGGGCTTCCGGGAGGCCACGCCCTTCCGATAGAGGACACGCTTCCCTTTCCCTCCTTAGTAAGTCACTCTTCTCTCCAGTTCGGCTTCTGGTCCCTGCAGCCCAACTCTGCACTGTGCTCACCCCGTGAGCAGCCACGGGGCCCTGTCATTCTTGGAGTGCTGTGTGCCAGCCTCCGTGGCATAGCCAGCTCACTGGGAACACTCCTGGCTGCACAGCAATGGAGCTCCTGCAGCATGGAGAGCTGCACTGAGGCCGGCTTCCTCCTCCTGGGGCCGCCACACTGGCTGTGAATTCCACCCATCCACACCAGGCAGCCTCCTGTCTTAACTCCCTCTCACCCTGTCAGCATCAATGAAGGTGTCACCCCCTCCTGGAAGCCCTCCAGGGTTGCTCCTTCCCTCATCACACCAGGATACCTACACTGTCACTCACCCTCTACACAGGTGCGGGGTTGGTAGGGCAGCGGGCAGGGGAGCGGGCAGGGGCATTTGGTGTAAGCCACTGCTATGCAAGCCACTGCTGGGGACACCCACACCCCATGACATCGTGCCTGGTTCAAGTCCTAGCCCTGTTCTCATGTCAGCTTCCTGCTATTCTGCCTGGGGAGATCGCTAAAAGCGTGGACCCCCCCCCACCCACGGGAAAGACCCACGTGGAGTCCTAAGCTCTTCCTCTCTCCAGGCCCAGCCCTGGCCCAGCCCTGGCTGTCGCTGGTGTTTGAGGAGTAGACGGAATCTCTCTCCCTCTGGCAGGTGCTTATCATGTAAAGTAAGTACAGGAGACTTTGTTACAGATTGCAGTGTGGGCTTCCTGCTGTGGTGTGGATCAGAAGGGCAAGCCGAGGACAGGAGGGAGGAGTCCTCGCCCTGGACAGGAGGGAGACCTCCTGGGAGGGAGACCTCGCCCCTGCACAGGAGGGAGAGAGCCCAGTCCTCGCCCTGGACAGGAGGGAGTCAGCCTGGGAAGGAGTCCTCGCCCTGCACAGGAGGGAGACCTCCTGGGAGGGAGACCTCGCCCCTGCACAGGAGGGAGAGAGCCCAGTCCTCGCCCTGGACAGGAGGGAGTCAGCCTGGGAAGGAGTCCTCGCCCCTGGCAAGTTCATGTTCTTGTGGCAGGAGGAGACCCAAACAGCAGGGGCTGGCGACCTGGCTGCCATCCCCTATCCGCCGAGGCCTTGGCTGCTGCACTTCCCACCCAGCCTCCTGTCCGTGCACCTGTGAAGGCAGTGGAGGATAAGCCAGGTGCTTGGGCCCTGTGCCCACCATGGGAGACCCTTGTCCCACCCAGTAACTATGCCTTTCAGATAAACAACAAAATAAATCTTTAAAAAAAAAAAAGATAGATGGCAACAGCAAAGAGTACTACAGAAAAGCATGACAGGCGGCTTGCAAGCAGTGACACAGCGGAGGCCCAGACAGGTCAGAGGAAGCGATTGAAAGAACAGGCCCGCGTGCTGGCAGGAAGCTCCAGGCAGGGAGCGAGAGCCACAAGGCCTCAGGCGAGGTCGAGTGATGGGGTCAGGACTGGTGCAGGCTGCAGAGGGCGGAGTGGGCACAGAGCTGGGGGCTGGGGGCTGGGGGACCTGCCACGGATGTGTGGCCAGGGCCGACCGGCATGCAGGAAGCTGCCGGTCAGCGCCTGGGCTCTCCCGGTGGGCATGAGAGGGCTCCAAGCTCTGGGTCTGGGACACACGCAGGGTGGGATAAACAGGGACTTGGACCCCACTGGGTGATGGAAGGAGAGGCAGGGGTGGAAATGGGGCATGCCCAGATACGGCTCCCATGACCCAGAAAAAACAATCAATGCCACTGTGCCATCCTCCCCTGCGGCACTGGGCAAGCGGGCCCGGTCTGTCGGTTAGCTGGCCCTTGGTGGCTCGTGCTGCCCAGCCTCCGAGCTGAGAGACCACGGCCTGAATCTCACCATCATCAGTCCTTCTGGTCTCTACTGCCACAGAGCCCTGAGGAAGCTTAAAGACGTACACAGTATGTTTGAAAGCTGAGAGAGAGAGCTTCCACCTGTTGGTTCACACCCCAAATACTCATACCACAGCCAGGGCTGGGCCAGGCTGAAGCCAGGAGCCAGGAACTCCCCCAGGATCTCCCATGCAGGTGGCAGGCCAAGCCGTCTCCCCTGGCGTGCAAGGCAAGGCAAGGATTTAGCCGCTAGGCTATCACATCAGGCTGCAAGAGCTAGGAGTTTTTTTTTTTTTTTAATTATCTCAAACTTTTGGGGGCTGGCATCATGGCACAGCATGTTAAGCTGCCACCTGTAATGCAGGCCCGACTGTTTCACTTCCTATTCTACTCCAAGCCAGTGCTCCTGGGAGAATTCTTGGGCCCTGCCACTCCCACGGGAGACCCAGATGGAATGCCAGGCTCCTGGCTTCGGCTTGCCCCACACCCAGCCGCTGCAGCCCGTTTGGGGAGTGAAGCAACAGACGGATCTCTCGCTCTCCTCTGCCCTGCCACTTTCCTTTCCAAATAAGTAGCAACAATGAAAACAGCTGTCTGCCTCACCCCCAAAGCAACGCTTCAGCTCAGCCAGCGGGCGTGCTGCTAGCCCTGACCCGTGCCATACGATGGCCACCTGGGGCTGCACAGGACCTGCACACAGGGGGCCGGACCCCAGGGTCCACTCTGTGTCCCACACGGCCCCACCATGTCATCGTTCTTCCCAGTCCCAGCGGCTGGGGCGTGTGCCTCTCGGCCCGTCCACACGCCGCCTGTCTCTCGGCTTCTCCAAGGAGAAGCGAGCTCTTGAGCAAACAGGAAGGTTGGTTTGGAATCAGAACGGGAAAGAGCCCTCTCAAAACTCGCAGTGAACGTGAGAGCACGCCCTGAGCAGACCGTGCACGGGTCTCGCTCCTGGCAGCACATCTTTCAACCCTCCACCTCCCGCCCTGTGTGGACCCGGCGCGTCACAGCCGTGCGCCACTTACAAAGGGACTTGGAGCGCTCTGTGCAGGTGGCATGAAGCCGCCTCCCTCTGCCCCACTTTCTCTCTCTAGGCCACAACTCTAGGCCATGCGCAGGAGGGCACGGGCTGTGACTCCTCCAGCGGGCGTGATGTTCTACGTGTCTTATTTTAGCTCGGTGTCTGGCTCCGCACGGTGCACTACCAGTCTGCACGGAGGCCACACCCTGTCTCCCATCGGGCAGGAAGGCGGGTGGGGAGCAGGGAGGAGAGAGGACGCTTGCCTGTCTGCACAGCCCGGGGACACGGCCAGGCCACTGACGCCCAGTGAGCAATGCAGATGGACAGAGGACCGGGACATGGTGCCTGCCCCCTGCGCTGGCTCTCAGCAGTGGCTTCATCGGTGTTCCTAACAAAATTTCTTTGACTTTTCAGCTTTAAAACATTCAAAAAATAGAGGCCACTGCTGCGGCCACAAGTGAAGCTACCACTTACTACTTGCGACCACTGGGATCCCATACGGGCTCCACTTCCCGTTCAGCTCCCCACTTATGGCTGGGGAAAGGGGTAGAGGACGCCCAAGGCCTTGGGACCCTGCACCCGCGTGGGAGACCCGGAAGGAGCTTCTGGCTCCTGGCTCCAGCATGGCCCCAGTTCTGGCCATTGTAGCCATTTGGGAAGTGAGCCAGAAGATGGAAGATCTCTCTTTAACTCAGCCTTTCACATAACATAATAATAATAACAATCACTGTGGCACAGAACACGAGGAGCCTCCTGGACTGTCAGAGGCCGTTAAACACACCACCTACCTTCCAGGCCTGCCTCCAGGGCACACAGAGAGCCCCTCCGCGCAACCCACCCACTCACCCGAGAGGATGAAGAAGATGCCGGACACGAAGGCCAGGATGGTTCTCTGAGGGCGGATGTGGCCGATGTTGCTGATGACGAAGGCGGTGAACACCAGGAAGAGGCTGACCATGGGGAAGGGGGTGGCCGTGCGCACCGTCTCTGCGGGAGGCAGACGCAGGGCTGAGGGGGCGCAGCTGAGGAGACACGGCCCCTCCGGCTCCTTCAGCTTCCCATTGCCCCACCCACGTCCCAGCTTTCTCAGGGGCTGGCCACGGCCCTGTCCACCCTGCTCCTGGCCCTGGCCCTGTCCACCCTGCTCCTGGCCCTGGCCCTGTCCACCCTGCCCCTGGACGAGCACTGACCGCCCTGCTCCTGGCCCTGTCCACCCTGCCCCTGGCCCTGGCCCTGTCCACCCTGCCCCTGGACGGGCCCTGTCCACCCTGCTCCTGGCCCTGTCGACCCTGCCCCTGGAAGGGCACTGACCGCCCTGCCCCTGGCCCTGGCCCTGTCCACCCTGCCCCTGGACGGGCCCTGTCCACCCTGCCCCTGGACAGGCCCTGGCCCTCAGCTGACTCTTGTATCCTGTTCTTGCAAGCCCCGCCTCCCGTCGGCTCCGCCCCTCTGCTGGCTCCTGCATCTTTTGCTTGTAAGCCCCGCCTCCCACTGGCCCCGCCCCTCCCTGTGGACGCCCACAGCTTTCCTGCAAGCCCCGCCTCTCTAGACCACGCCCCTCGCGCAAGTCCCGCCCCTTCGGACCCGCCTCTCCTTGCTGACTCCCACAAGCCTGTCTTCCTGCAAACCCAGGCTCCCTTGCCCCAGCACTGCCCCCGACTGCCCCTCACTCAGAATATTCTCCGTGTTCTCCGTCACCAGGTTGATCTCTGGCTCAAGGAAATATTCCGACGCCACGCAGCGACCCTTCTCTCGCCCTGGGGAAAGGACACACACAAATAAATTGGGTTGATTACAGGTGCCCGCCACAGGCAGCGTGGACATGGGGGTGCACCCCAGACCTGGAGCTGGCAGGCCAGGGCCAAGAGGGAAGGGCTGGACAGAACACAGGAGAGATGTTGCTGGGAGCCCCTCCCAGGCCCCCTGGAAGGAGGTCACCTGAGATCCTAAGTGAGGAGGGGGCTGTACACCTGGGCATGGTGTGGGGAGGCCAAGCTGGAACTATCCACAGGTCAGTCCTGAACCCAGAGGCTGATCCAAGGTGCTCTAGAAGTTGGGGGGGGGGTGGGAGGGGAGGGCTGGACACCTGGCTATCCCCAGACCCGGGGCTCACAGGGCAAGGAAGCAGGGCATCGGGGAACACCCAACAAGCCTGCACACAGGACAGAAAACGGGGTCAATTCCTAGGCTTCCAGAACCCAGGGCTGGACCCCCACGGGGCCCTTGGGCTGCTGGGCAGGACTGGAGCAGGTGCTGGCAGATGGGGGCATACCCGCAAAGAAGCAGACGCGCCAGAGACCGGCGTGCAGTGCCATCTTGACCTCGGTGGTCTGGTTCTGTGGCAGCACTGTGCCCTCCTCCATGTACAGCCAGTAGTCCGTGCTGACCGCGATGCCCACCAGCAGCAGGCCGCAGGCTCCAAACACACTGCTGAGCAGGGTCAGGGCGCGGCTGCTGCAGTGGCTCATCCTGGGCGGCGGGGGACGCCCTGCGGGGCCTGCAAGACACCAGCTGCCAGTGAAGGTGCCCGCACGCACCGCTAGCACCACGAGACCCTCTCACCTCTGACCCCTGGGTCCTGACACCTGACCCCGGGCCTGGGCTCGGCACACACACCCCCTCACCCCTCTGAGTCGTGCCCAGCTCTAGAGCCAGATACACAACCTAGGATGAGGTCCCCAACTTGAGCCTTTTGCTCAGACCCAGACGTTGGATCTGCCTCCGACCATGCCAGACAGCACGACTCTGAACGCAAACCAACCCTCCAGCCAGTCCTTCCACAGCCCTGACCTGAGGGAGCGCTCAACCTTGGCCACGAGACCCCACTGCAGTCCCTAACCTTGAGCCTGGGACCAGTGACTTGGAAACCGTTGTGTCCACCACTGCCTTCAATGTCCCAGCCCTGACTGCGCTGACCCAGCCGGGAATGCCAGACTCCAGCCTGGGTCTCCCGTCCTGCCTCTGTGCCCTGACCTGGTGCCCTGGTGCCCCTCCTTTGGCCACTGTCTCTGAACTGCCTCAGATCCCTGCTCTCAAGCCTGCCTGAGCCTTGGAGGAGACCCCCACCCACGTGGATGCCCTGGGGGCTGCAACCTTGGCCCTGACATGGATTTTCAACTCAGGACTTTGACCCACGACTTCCTAACTCTGTGCCTGTGTTTCAACCTCAGTGGGGTGCCCCACACCCCAGAGCCAAGCTGACAGGACCCTGATTCCACCATCCAGGGGTCTGCAACCTAGGAAGCTGGGTCCTTGACACGGGGTCAAACCCAAGAACAGAGCTGAGACCCCCCAACCCAGCACTCCATCCAGAGCAACCCCAGAAAAGCCAGCAGTCCGACCTCCAGAGCCTGAACTCCCACTCAGGAATTCTGAGCCCACCCCCAACCCACCTGACCTACGAGCTGTGGACCCCCCCAGGCTCCCACACTAAGCTTCCCCACTGGGAATCTGGATGCCCTCCAACACCGGGTCTCCCCAAAGAAGAGGTCCCCCAGGGGGCGGGGAACCCAAGAGATTCCAACTAGGACATTAGTCCCCCAATCCCACTCTGGGCTCCCCCAGCCATAACTTTCCTGTGTGCCTGTGGCGCAGCGGGGGTCTGTCTCCTCAAGCGATCTGGGCAGCCCCCTGCAAGCGCTACCCTTGACAACTGCCAGGTTAGAGACACCCCCTGACCGCCTCCCGGGACAACACGGCCTGAGCCCCAACTTCCTAAGACAGCTTCGTAAAGACCCCCCCACACACACACCCCAACACACACACGCCGCTCGCGAGCCCCCACCCCGCCCCCCAGCCCTGGCCCTGGCCCTCGGAGGACGCAGCCACAGCTCTGGCCAGCGCTGCGTCCCATCCCCCCCAGCCCGGGGCTCCAGGCTCGCCCGCCAGCCTTGGCTGCGCTCCCCGCCAGTCCTCCCTGCCACCGCTGGCGCGAGGGCAGCCGCCTAAGGCGCGCGTCGCCTCCTCCAGGTGGGCTGCCCGGGGTCCCGTACCACCCTCCGAGGCCGGCAGGGACGGCCGGGTGCTTGCTCGCTCTCTCGCTCTTCCCGACTCCTCGTCGCCCTGCGCGCCCCTGCCTCCTGCTATCCGGCCCTCCCTCCCGGGGCCCGGAGCCTCCTTCTGGCCCTTCCTTATCCGGGACCCTCCTGGATCCAGGCACTCGGCGCCCCGCGCCCCCTTCTTAAACCCCATCCTCCGGCACAAACTCTGAATCAGGGGAGCCCTAACTCCCCGCTCCCAAATGCTGGGGACCCCTCCCCAGGCTCGAACCCTGCGCCTCGCGGCCCGGGGTTGCCTGCCTCCTCTCCGGGGGGGCCCAGGAGTGCGGAGCCCTGCGCTCCGGGACCCTCCGGGGCGGTCCCTCCCTTCATCGCGCCTCGGGGTCTGCAGCCGCCAGGCCGCCAGCGCTCGAGCACCCCCAGGTCCCCTCCGAGGGGCGCCCCCTCTCTCTTCCCTCCGGCCAGGACCCTCCCCTCGCGCTCACCTCGCTCAGGGCTGGGCGGACGCTCCGGGCCGCGGGCCCCGCAGCCGCATGACCGGCCCCGCGGCTTCCCCCGGCCGCCGCCTCCGGGGTCGACCCCGGCGCCCGCGCCCCCCGCCCCCGCCCCGGAGCCCGGCGTCCCGGCCCCCGCCCGGCCTCCCACCCCCCACCCCCCGCGCCCGCGGCCTCACTCGGCGGCGGACCGAGCCGGGAGCGGGCACCGGCGGCCGCTCATTGGCTGCGGCGGAGGAGGGGAGGGTGCGGGCAGGGAGGGAGGGAGCGAGCCGGGCCTGGAGGAGGAGGGGGAGGCGGCGAGCCCCGAGAGGGGCAGGGGCGCCGCGAGGCGAGCGGAGGGCGTCACGCGGACGGCGCGCGTCCCGGGGGCCGCCGGGGCTCGGAGCTGCGGGGCCGGGCCAGGGGAGAGGTCAGAGAGCCGCGCGGAGGGGAGCCCGCTGGACGCTGGACGCTGGACGCGCCGAGGCCTCGGGCCGAGAGACGCGGAGATCCAGAGACCTTGGGCCGGGTGTGTGGGGGGGTGGGGTGCAAAGGAGACCGAGAGACCCCGAGGAGGCGCGGCGGCAGGTGCAAGCCTGCGGGACCCCCGAGCAGCACTGGGGCGGGGCCTGGGGGCTGGGCGGCGGGCGGGGGGCGTCCCGGGCCGGGTCCCGGAGCCGCGGGCGGGCGCACCGAGCAGAGCCGGGTCCTGCAGCCGCCGCCGCGGAGCCGAGAGCCGGGCCAGCACCCCCCCAGCGTGATGTCAGCGGGGCCACTCTTAAAGGGGCAGCCGCCCGCCGAGGGTCGGGGCGGGGGCGGGGTCCCCGGGTGTGCGCGGGACGGAGGGCGGGCTGGGGGCGGGGTGTGGGATAGCGCCCCGGTGATGCGGACCACCGGGCAGCCGTCTCACTCAGGGGACCGGGACGCGCGGGAGCCTGCCGAGACGCAGGTGCCCCTCCGCGAGGGAGGCTGCCCAACTCTGAGTTGCATCCCGCCCCCCCAACCCCAGGCGCACAGACACGGGCGCCCCGCTTCTCCGACCCGCCGCAGCCTGGGACTACGTTTCCCATCAGCCCTGGCGACCGGGGCCCGCACTCCGGGGGCAGGGTCCGCCGTGATGTCTCTTGGGAGGTGTAGTCCCGTGCCCCCTTCTGCTCCGCCACCCTTCATGTTCCCCTGGGGGTCCCGGGTCCAGGAAAGGGGCCGAGGCGAGTGCGCCCGTCGGCTGTCGCGGCTGCTGATGCCTTGGGGGTGTTTCAAAGTGCGCCCCTCCCTCTTGTGGGGTCTTCGCTTCCCATCTCTCCTGGGGATCTGGTCCCGGGCTCCCGCATCTCTGCGGGGCTGTCCCGGGTGCTCTCCCCTGACGCCCATTCATTCCTCATCTCTCTGCCTTGGGATCCCCCCGGTGCTCCCTACCCCTCGCGCTCCCAGCTCCCAAAGAGACACCCCACGTTTGAGCATCAGCATCCCACTTTTATTGTCCAGCAGCCGCGGCCGAGTGGGAGCGTCCGGAGAGCGGCAGGCACTGGGGAGGGGAGGGGGTTCTGGTTCCCAGCCAGACTTGGAGCCATGCACGGGCGGGCGGAGTCTACGAGTGCAGCCGGCGGAGGACCGAGGGAGGCAGCCTCCTCCGCGCGTCCCAGGGCCCCAGGGCTCCCCGCGGCACCGGAGGGCCGGGCTGCAGCGGGGTGAGGGGGGTGCGCAGCCTCCCGCTGACTCCGGAGCTGGACACGGAGGAGCGGGCTCGCCTTGGGACCCGCGTCTGGCACAGCCAACCCCGCGACCCGTCTGGGGGACGGACGGGAGCGGGGAGCCTGAGACACCGCCGGGAGGTGGCGGCGGTTCGGGCACCTGTCGGGGTGAGGGATGGGGGCTCGGCACGGCAGAATCTAGACAGCGGCAAGGCCCGGAGCAGAGCGGAGAAGGCTGGGGGCGCTCCGCGGGGGACACCACGGAAGGGGGCAGCGGCCGGGGCGGCCGGGGTTGCAGAATCTGGAACGGGCAGGGAGGGCGCGGCGGAGGCGGGTGAGGTTACATCACGGGCACGGGCACGGGGCTGCTGGGGCTACGCGCGTCCGGGTGCACGAAGTCGGGGTTCACGTAGGTGAAACCCTGGAAGTCCGCCTGGTCGATGCTGGCCAGCACCAGACGGTCTGGGGGCGTCAACGCCGGCGCGGCCCGTGTGAAGAATTTGTCGAAGTTCTCGCCGCTGCGGCCACACTGCGGGAATCGCAGCGCCAGCAGGTGAGCTGGGTGGGCCTGGCTGTGGGGCCCACTCCCAAACTACCTGCTCCCCCAAAGCGCCCCTCCCGCAGGCCCCGCAAGGGCTCCGCACAGGGGCCTCCCCCGACGTCCACACCCACTCCGTGGCACTGACCGGGCGGGGTCTGAACGGGGGTGCGATCTCCAGTCGCTCCAGCCGCTCCCAGTCGATCCAGCGGAAGAAGCCGTGGGCGCGGATGGTGGGCTCTCCGTCGGGCCCCGAGCCCAGGCGCTTCCCAGGGTGCTTGGTCAGGAACTGTGGGAGACAAGGAGGGACAGGCAGAGTCCCAGATGCGGGGTGTGGACATGGAGAGCTCAGGATGGAGGGATCTCAGAGGGGGGCGGGAAGGGGAAGGAGGTGTGAAGAAAGGAGAGGAAGGAGGAGAATGGAGGAGTGAAGGTTAAGACAGAGGGAGAGAGGGGCCACCCTGCAGGGGGCTGGGAAGCCAGGAGGAGAGCAAGGGAGAGGCAGGGACCCAGAGGGGCTGGAGTCCCAGAGACAAGAGGGAAATCCGACTCAGGAAAGGGAGGGCAGAACCAAGGAAGAAGGGATGTAGACCAGAAGGACGCAGAGGGCAGGCACCCCGGCAGGAGGGGCGGGCAAGGACCCAGCGGGAGGACACAGGGGGCAGGTCTGCGGGATCACAGGATGGTGGAGAAGCAGAGGGCTGAGACACGATCCCAGAGGGAGGCGAGGAGCCAGCTGATGTGGTTGGCTGCTGGAAAGCAGCCCTGGGTCGGGGCGGGCACTGTGTCTGCAGCCCAGAAGGGAGACCAGAGACCAATGGGAGGAACAGCAGCTGGACGGGTATATCCAGCCCACCTGAGCTGGGGAGTAGGGGCTGCCAAGGACAGCGGCCAGCTGGGAACCCACAGCAGCAGCACCTTGCATCGGGTCAGCTTTCCAGCTGAGGGGAGCCAAATGCGTGTGGGGTGTGAGGCTGGAGAGGCTGGGAGCCAGGGGGCTCTTACCCCCTTACAGATGGCCACGGCCTCCCGGGAGAGCGACTTGGGGTAGGTGACGGTCTGCTCCATGATGGCCTGGAACAGCTCCTCCTCATCCTCTCCATCAAACGGAGGCTGCAGAAGTGGAAGGACGAGGGGTCAGACACCCCTGCACCCTCACTGGCCGCACCCTCACTGGCCGCACCCTCACTGGCCACAGTAAACGTGACTTCATCAGTCGGACTGCCCAGGCCTCGGCTTCTCCCCGTCCCGCGCTGAGCTCCTCTCTTTCCTGGGTCACTAGCGGGGTGTGCAGCAGGCCAAGAGGGGAGCAGCCGCAGGGAGGACCGGGCGGGCACTGCCCCCAGGCGCCTGGGCAGACGGCAGTGGCTAGGAGGCGGCCCTGAGCCCCGAGTGACGAGGGGCATGGGACAGCTGCGTCTTTATTTCGCACGTGTCTCTACGTGAAAAGCAGCAACTCCTTCTGCGGAACGCAGCCAACAATCCACAGCCACAGCCTCGCGCCTCAATCAGCAACAACAGTCACACACACGCCTCTAGCGTGAGAGTCGGAGAGACTCAGGGCTGTGGATCATTACTGCCACAAAAAGCATGACTGGGCTTCTGTTTGCCTCCTGCTCCCACGAATTCAGCAAGAAGGATGATCTTCAGGTCTGCTCCTCGACTGCTAAACAGCCAAATACATAGTCAATGTACTCAAGTTAAAAATGTTAAACGTGTTTTGTGGCCTTTTTTGTGTGATGGACATCTTTTGTAATTCTACTATTTTTTGTGCACCTGAGAAAAAACACTGCCATGAGACGGGGGCGGGGGGCGGGGTATCCGTAAGCCCCTCTGGATTGTGGAAGGACCCACACCATCCTCCTGTGAAGGTTAAGAACCTGTTGCGGTGGCAGACAATGGTTCAGGACCACGGACAGCACCACCCGGCCCCAGGCTGCTGCCCTGCTGAGCTCCTGCCCAACAGCACCCAGCGGACCCCCGTGCAGCCCTCCGAGCTCTTCCTGCCCCTGCCCAACAGCACCCAGCAAACCCCCGTGCAGCCCTCCGAGCTCTTCCTGGCCCCTGCCCAACAGCACCCAGCAAACCCCCGTGCAGCCCTCCGAGCTCTTCCTGGCCCCTGCCCAACAGCACCCAGCAGACCCCCGTGCAGCCCTCCGAGCTCTTCCTGCCCCTGCCCAACAACACCCAGCGGACCCCCGTGCAGCCCTCCGCTATGCCAGCTTCTGCCCAGCTCCCTTACCTGTCCGGCCAGCATCTCATACAGCAGGACGCCAAAGGACCACCAGTCGACAGATTTCCCATAGGGCTGGTACGCAATGATCTGGGGACATGGCAAAGGCAGGGGTCACCGCTGCTTCTTACCATGTCTGGCAGTCCACTTTAAATGTCCAGTTCTGCCCGCCCCGCCCCGCCCCCCGAAGGCTCTGGCCCCAGGTCCACGCCTCGGAAACGTTAGGGGGAGGCCATGGGAAAACAAACCCTTGAAGGAGCAAGAGCTGGGAGCCTGCTCCCCACACAGGAGGCAGCCTGCGCGGGGCTCCTGGCTCCAGCTGCCTCGGCCCCAGCTGCTGTGGGCGCTGGAGCAGAGAAGTAGTGAGATACATCTCTGTCCCTCTAGTAAATAATTCGCTTAAAAAAAATACATGTTTCCTTGAAAAAAATAGTGTATTTTCCTAGTTTTCTGCAGGCGGTTCTGACCCATGTCACTGTGCCATCGCCAACCATGGGTGCAGCAGCTCGAGCGCGGCTCACCCCTGCAGCTCAGGGGAGCACTGCCCACAGAAGTGCCTCCTCAACTTTGAAAGGTCAGGGTTTGCTGCCTCCATCGCCCTACACGCTCAGGCCGGCAGTGGTCCCGTGCGTCACCGTGTAAATGCTGGGGGCATGCAGCCTGCCCATCCGGCTCTCCCAGCAGGTTCAGAATCAAAGAACTCAGGAGTATGCATCCCTGCGTGGCCCCTGGGATGAGCCCACCCTGAGCATGCTCCAGAGACAGCCCCCGCCCACTCAGAAGC